CAGCTCAGCGGCCGCTGCCCCCGGAGTTAGGGGGAAAGGTGGGAAGTGTGGGCCGGGCGAGTCGGGAGCGAGCTCTCTTCTGATTGGCTGTCGGTCCCAACGATGCCAGTCGCCCCTGCTGATTGGCCAGACCCACCGCCCGCGATCCACTTTCCTCTTGGACTCGGAAATGCTCAGTCCGGCGGCGACCGGGGTCTGGTTCCTCATTGGACACGCCTTCTCTTGTCCCGCCTCCGTGGTCAAGGCCGCCTCTGATTGGCGAGCGGTCGGGCGCTACGCGGAGTCAGGTCAGGTCGCGTGGGCTCGGTTCGGCGGTCGCGGCGCGGGTCGGCACCAGGTTTCTCCCTCTCGGGCGTGGGCCGGGGAGGGGGGCGCGCGGGTGGGTGGAGGCCGTGTGTGCGCCCCAGGGAGTTCCGGGCAGGTCTGGGGCGAAACAGCGGCCCTGGTACGGCAGTTTCCTCACCCGCCGCTCGCCTCCGGCCCGATTTGGATGAGTCGGTCAGGGCGGGTCTGTTCACCCCGCGCCGTTTCCCGCACCCCAGCCCTGATGGTCTCCCCGATGCCTCTTCTAGGGACCCTCTGCCTCCGGGAGGAGTCCCTCTGAGCGTCCCGGGCTCCCTTCCCTGGCGGAAGTGCTGTGCCGGTTCCAATTCCGACGCTGCCGGTTGGCGTAAGTATTGCCATTAAGTGCACAAACCCCCCGGGTACAATAAGATATAAAAGTATTGAAACAATGGACTAAAACCCTATCTTGCTAACTCTGAAGTGAAGGGATTAATATGACCTCCGGGCCTAGAAGCGAGTCTTCGGCACCCAGATTTTGACCCCTAAATGCCATTCTCCGCCAAAAGGTACCGGGGCGCCATGGAGAAGGGGGCTGGGGCCCGGACAGGAGCTGGGAGTGAGTGAGTTCTTGGACTGTCTCCTGACAGGAAGTCGGGAAGTATCCAAGAAGAAAAAGGTTCTTTTATTATTTTCATTTTAAATATATCTTTATTGATTTCAGAGAGGAAGGGAGAGGGAGAGAGAGATAGAAACATCAGTGATGAGAGAGAATCATTGATGGCTGACCCCTGCAGGTCCCCTACTGGGGATCGAGCCCGCAACCCGGACATGTGCCCTTGACCAGAATCGAACCCGGGACCCTTCAGTCCGCAGGCTGGTGCTCTATCCACTGAGCCACACCAGCCAGGGCGAAAAAGAGGTTCTTTTAAAAGGACCCGGGAGCCAGCTTGGCGGAATGAATGCCCACTGGCCACAGTTAGAACAATTTGAGGGTCAAAAAGAATGACTGCAGTTGGTTGAAAATGTCAAACGTGTAAAAGTCATTTCCTGGAAAGAGTGAGCCAAATCTAAAAAAAAAAACCCCAATAATTTCTAGAAACCCCTGTTTGCCATGTTACGGGTGGTGACTATTACACCAGCTCTTTATTCTGAAAAGCGGTAAGTGGAGAAAATAAACATTTATCCTGCCTTTCTAGTTGCAGGAGCATTTCAGAGTCATCAAACAGCCCCAGTTGATGTGCAAAGCGCTGTTAATGAAACCATTTGGTGCAAGAGTGATAGGGAACAGAATGTTAACCTGTGCACAATTATTCCCCAGGGGTTACGCTGGTCATCAGGAGGAAAACAAGGACAGTGGGAAAATGTGGCCTCTCCCATCTTAGCCTAGATGAATCTTACCACCACGAAACGTGGGCCCTGACATTGTTGTGTCTCCAGCATCATCTGTGAGTATTGTTCCCCAAAATCTTTAACTTCAACATCATAAAGCAGGAACTACAGGATTGAAGGGGGAAAAAAAAAATGACACCAAGAGGAAAAATCTAAAGCAAACGATAGGACATACTGCAGAGCAAATAGCTTAGTCTCTTACATTAAGCCGGTGTCACTTAATGAAATTAAGTCCTTCGCTGCTCATCCGGAACCATGGTGCCCTCGCTGTGGAAGGGGCTGGTGGGCGTCGGCCTCTTCGCTCTGGCCCATGCAGCCTTCTCCGCTGCGCAACATCGTTCTTACATGCGGTTGACAGAAAAGGAAGACGAATCCCTGCCGATAGATATAGTTCTTCAGATACTTCTGGCTTTTGCAGTTACTTGTTATGGCATAGTTCATATTGCAGGGGAGTTTAAAGACATGGATGCTACTTCAGAACTAAAAAATAAGACATTCGACACATTAAGGAATCACCCATCGTTTTACGTCTTCAATCATCGTGGTAGAGTCCTGTTCCAGCCTTCGGATACAGCAAATTCTTCGAACCAAGATGCGTTGTCTTCTAACACATCCTTGAAGTTACGAAAACTTGAATCACTGCATCGTTGAGATTTTTACAAATTATAACAACAGAAGAGGACACAGAGCTAGAATATTGGTGTTTGGGGTATATAAAACACCTCCCCCCACCGATATGTATCTTGATCTTTCAGACCTAATTTTTAAAAAGTTTATGTCCCTGTTTTTATACTGTTAAATCATTGATGCAGTATAAAATATCTGTGAAATGAGTCTTTGATCTTTCATAGAATTCTTTCTTTTTTTCATTTAAAACAAATTGGCATCTTTTGTAAAAGTCACTGTTTTGAACACATTTCTTCGAAGAAAAAAAAGTTGATGTTTTTGTAATTGTTTTCTCAGATTTCTTTTCCTTTGCACTACAGTTTTTAGGACCCTTTTGGAAACAGCGTGACTGCTGCATTTTGCTGCATGAACGATAATAAAACGGTCTTCAGTTCTTAACAAGTGGACTTCTCTGCAGAGATTTAAAAAGGTGACATCAGTTTTTCGTAGGCCCTCTAAAAAGGGGCTCTGCTTCAGGAGTTACTTGCCAGATTTTAATTTATCCCTCACTTCTCACCCCACCCGACTCCCATATACCTTCTAACATCAGCTATCTCGTGGCATCACTTCTCTGGAGTTCTGTGTGCAGTGAGCAATTTTTGTATCAGAAATTCTTTGTCATAACAAATATACTTAACAGATTCAACTTGCTGTAAAGCTACTTGTATTCTCTTTGTTTATCTGTAAAAAATTTCCCTAATTGGTTATGTGGTGTAAGAAAGTTGAAGATACACCAAAAGACCCTTTGGGATTTAATTATTCTGCTTATGTAGAAGAAGAATCACTGAGGAAAACTGATTATTTGTCATTAGCCAGTTTAATTTATTCAAATTCTGTTATTTTATTGCATACTATACTAGTGAATTAGTAAAAATAAACTCATTAAAGGAATTGGGCCAAAAATGTCCTAAATATTTGGAACTATCTTTAATTTTTTTTTTCATTAATATCATTTAAGAAATTGTTTTGTGGCTTCTGACTTGTAGCAGGCTTACAGTTTTCCATCTTCATTGTATGTTGCTGAAGATGATACAGAGTAGTACTTTTTTAAGAACAGTAATTTTAGTTTTAGGGAAATTTGGCTAGCCCTTTGGTCTGCAGAAAGCTTAACATTCCTTGGTAGAGAACATTTTATTGAATTCTCAGGTATGAAAACATTGCTTATGTGGAATTGTATAGATGTAGAGGGAATAACTATGCAGATTTGAAAAAGAAATGAGCTTTAGGCAAGTCTCCTGATGCCCTAACACTTGATGGCTTTTTTTCCACTAGAAATTAACCTCAGCGCTTCTGTTCTGCCTGGAAACACACAGCCCCAAAGCAGGAGATTATTTTGTCATTGGGCTTTTATTTTGTTTAGTTTTGTTTTGCCAACCTAGTCTACCTGTGGAATACTAGCTCTGCTCTCTAAGGAGGACAAAGTTGGAAATCTTCTGATAACCTAGGGTAATTTAGAAGTGCGTTAAAGATGTGAAGTCGGGGGTTAAAAGTGGTGATGATAAAATCAAAACTGTGTGAGAAACAGCTCCTTACATAGGTTGTATACCGTCTCCTTGGGGATGACTAGGTTCCCAAGGGCCTCTTGTTTTCTTCTCTTGGGGCTGTCTTCCTTTCCTAATGTGCTTTCAGAACAACTTTATGAAGCTATAACTCACATTCCTTATAACTCACCCACTTAAAAGGTACAGTTCAGTGGTTTTGTAATATAGTCACTAGTTGTGCAGCTATGACCACAGTCAATTTGAGAACACCCAAAATAAACTAACCCTTTAGCAGTCATCTCTCATTTCCCCAGATGCCTCCCAGCCCCAAGCAACCACTAATCTACTTTCTCTCTCTCTCTGATTTGCCTATTCTGGTCCTTTAAATGGATTCATTCAATATCTAGTCTTTCATAACTGGCTTCTTAAAATAATTTAGTTCTGTGGAGAGTGAGAACTTCTCATCTTGAGAACTGTGACTGCTGTGAAAGGAAGTGGTTGGTGAAATCAGTAGACGTAAGACAGAGGGTCAAATTTTATTTATAATGCTATGAGACAGTCCATGACTACCTAGGGTAGTCCCAAAAATGTGATGCAAGCTAGCTCAGTCTGCAGTTGACTATTGAAGGCTCTCTAGAATATGGGAAGACTCACTTCTTAATAACCAGGGAACCAGCTACATGTGATGGGCTAATAGCCCAGCTGCACAGTGCAGATCAGTGAATCAGGCCATAGTGCCCTGTAACTCCGTTCTTCACACGTCCTCCATCCAAAAATGGCTTCTGTGGTCCAAGCTGGGAAAGACTATGTTGTTCACTTCCTCTTGGAGAGTCCCAGGGTCCGTGACCACAGGAAGGAATCTGAGAATACCTGTCATGAAGAAACCTGATGAGCTCAGTTCAGTCCTGACTTTCCCAAGCCTTTGGTGTTGGGAAGTATGTTACCGAGCATGTGGGAAAAGCCTTGGTTTTTGAAGGATGATTGTTCAGTTCTTGAAGAACCATATTAACTAAACTCTTAAATTATGCAGAAAATTGAAGACAAGCAATGGTGTTAGCTAGATGTTATTTATTGGTTTAATATGATTTCAGAGCCATTTGTTTATGACTTAAATGAAGTTGTTTTAATCCACCTGTTTATGACAAAGACAACACAAAAGTTGTCTTCAGAAGTGACGCAGTTTTGATACAAGAATGGAGCAGGCTGTGTCCGGAAGTCATCATCTCCTCTGTTGATATGCTGTCGGCAGCTCATCTGCTAGGGACCCCGCTGGGGCTTATCAATAACATGTGGAGAAGCAACTATAGCTATATTAGGTTTATCTATAGTCTTCGTTTTATATAGAGTATTTAGATGGTAAATACTGACAATATGCGAGGACTATTGAAGAGTCAGTCTGGGCAAGGCGCACTTTGCTGAGCTAGCTCTCTGAAGACCTTGGGGCATTAGCGCCTGTCTTGGTGAGGTGTTGCCTTGCAGACAGTGGTGATAAACCTTGCAGCGACCCCTTTGAGGAATCATCCTGCCCACTAACACATTCCTTAGCAACGTGCTCTGGCAGCAATGGACTTCTCATTTTGTGCTGGCAGCTGGAAGTCAGCTCCAGGTTGGTTAAAGGTGGCCCGCCCCAGTGCCTACTTGTAGAACAGGTCCACTTCAGCTAAATTTGGGCATTATTTCTTTCACCTCCCCTTGCCTGAATAATAGTATAATTAATCTAGCATTGCTTTGGCATATGTTATTTATGATCTTTTTAAGAGATATTATCCTGGATGCTATTCGCTTGTGACATTCCCTCAATGGACCGGTGTTAAATAAATGGCTGGCAAAGACAAAATTAGTCTCTGAGCATAATTTTACCGCCAAAACAAAACACTAGAGAGAGAAGAATTCCAAATCTTTGTACTGGTTTGCCGCTGCCTGGCGTGGTGAGTGATATAATCTTTTATCACAAATCCAGTCATTGGAATGTTACCAGGCTGGGAACCTGGCCCTGAGCAGGTCTGCCTAGGGCCAGCGGGTAGTGTGTGGGTTCTTGGCTTCATGTAGAAAAGAATTCACAATACAAGCCCAGGTCACTGTGAGTGTATGTTTATTAAAGCTGGGGACAGTGAAACAAGGGAAGGCCTGGACTAGAAGAAGCAACAGGAGAGCCCAGGCTGGGCTGCTTTAGTTCACTGGGAAGTCAGAGAAAAGAGGCCTTGGAGACACATTCAGGGGATTAGCCTGGGATGAGCTGCCGCTGCCTGTTGCTCCCCTGGTTGCAAGTCTTCATGGGGTCCCTTCGAGTTTAGGAGGTGCATGCCTGTCGGGGGAAGCAGAGGGGGCAGGGGAAGGCACAGAGGGAGAGCACACAATGGGTCCTTTGTCTTGAGGGTGTTTTTTTTCTTGCAGGTGGGAATCTTAGGGGAGATCTCGGGAGGGTTTCAGCAGAACATTCATCAATTTTCCAGGTGTGCTCTTTCAGGGTCGAGGTCTCTGGTGATTGGTTAGTGCCAGGGCAGGGGACTGTTAGTCATTGCAGCTGCTCCTGCTGTTGCATACTTGGTCTGGGCCTGGAGCTAAAATACAACTGGGGCCTAGATGTTATCTGTAGGGAGGTGACCTGTGTCTGCTTAAGTAAGTTGCTAGGCCAGTTTGCTCAGCTGTCTGTCTCAGTTTTCCCATTCCACTTGTCCTGGCTTACTGGCCTGCTCGAGAAATGTTGCTTACCTTTGCTGGTTAAATTTCTGATAATCAGGTTGAAACTGCAGTTATGTATAAAAATACCCATCAACCTCTATTAAATGCAATAATGGTTACAAGCTGGTGAAAATAAGAATTTGATTGCAAGGCTGAGTGAGAAACAAGTGTGATGGAGTCTAAAATTCTCAAACTGGAAAAGGTTTGGCTCCTTGGTCCTTAGTATTTCCCATCCTCCTTCCTTTGCTCCTTGTTTCCTTTAAGGCTGTCAAAGCAGTTGACAGGGTTGTAGAGCGGGTTAGAC